AATATCTCCAGGGATTTAGCGGTAGATAGGAGCGCTTGGAGACTAGCGATCAACGTACCGGAACCGTGACTTTTGCTCCTTTCTCTTTTGCTCCAATCTTTTTTTTTTTTACTACTGTTTCTATTGGGTTTCATTTCTGGCCTACCCCAACTTGTTTGGGACTAAAAGACTTTGTTGTTGTTGTTGTTGTATATCCGATATCGCCAGTGTTTGATGAGCGTATGTTTGTGAAAAACCAGATGTTTTAGCATTGATAGATTTTAATAAGGACATGTATCCTTTAATTTATGTTTTTTCTTCTAATTTTTTTATTTCCTTTGAGAACCAACTTTTAGTTTTAATGTATTTATACATTTTTTTAACTTCCACAATGTTTTTATGTATTAAGTAGCAACGTCCCAGAGTGACTTTTCATTACAATTTTCTTTCTTTTTTTTTTTTTTAGGAAGTTAAACAGTAGGGGCAATATATAGCGACTTGGCCAAGGGCCCAATATTTCTGAAGACCGATCCTGAAAGTCAGTAACACCTAGTTTTCATGTAACTGAAAAATAGAATCAGCCAAAACCGATGTTTCTTTGCATGACGCCACCAATTCTTCACCATCAGATCAACATTCTACGACATATTATCGGTTAGTGTCATAAATCGGTAGATTTCATAACGACAGTCATTGCTAATCAGTATGCTGTTAATAAGAACACGTTACGATATTGAAGATAGAGAAACCTCGGGTGAATCTCTTGTTCAAAATAAATCAAATTAAACAAACTTCATCTGAAAAAAGAATATATATATATATATATAGAGAGAGAGAGAGAGAGAGAGAGATGTATTATAAACTCATGATGACCTAAAAGTCATCAATATACAATATCAAGTAACACTATTTGGGGTTTTGCAGACAAAAGATATGCAGCAGAGCTATCCTTCTATAACCCTTCCAAAAAGGGTCGAATTCTCCAAAACATTGTACTTTCTCAAACTCTTGAAATCTACGTGTCAAACAGAAAGATGACACCCTGATAACCGTAATATTTTCAAGCAATAAATCGGAAGAGCATTTATTTTTCCTAGTAACCTTTTTGAGCTTGTCTTGTGTCCTATACCTACTAGTCCGGCTGTCCAAAACAACCGAAAAATACACCCTGTAATGAATATTCAAGGTTCAATGAATGCATCAATGGTACTGCATAAACACAATTAACCATCACAAATTCATACGATAGTGCTGCAAAAAGGTTCACAGAAATGAGAACAGAATACATGTGAATACAAGATGGTAAGAAGAGTTAGAACAATATTGTGGCTGAAGAATAAAAAAAAAATAGTTCATTTATGCTCCATCATTATTAGTTCAATTTTTTTTCTTTTTTTTTTCTTAAGTATATAAATTTGCAATGGTAAAAGTCAATTGAACTTAAATAGGTTGTCGGCTAGGATATGAACATAACAACCAGCACATCAAGGCACATCCAATTCTGAACGAGCAGCATGACCTGACCTACAGGCTACAATTAATAACTATAACACTGAAAAATTCAACAACGTACCAATAACTTTAAGTGGGAAGAAGGGGCTGTCTTTCATCGGGTCCTACGAGGTGACTAGCCTGCACAAAGAAAATAAAAAATGAATTAGCTGTGTGTTTCGGAAGGAAGATTGTCGTTAAGAAGATAAGAGGTTGTACCTCCTCATTGGCTCCAGCAGCTATGTTTATGAAGGATGAATCCTTTGACCTAAAAGGATGGGGGTAAGGGAAGATGCAATATAACATTAACTTCTAAGTTCTAACCTCAGAAAGAATATACGTAAAATAATGTAGAGGAAAATCAGTTGCATAAATTCAAAATTACAATTCAAATAAAGTTCAGTAAAACATAACCCAAAATAGACTGGCAAAATCCAGTGACAAGTCTTAAGTCTCAAGCTACAAAACACATTAATGTCAGCACGTAGTAAGAATGCAAGCACAACCACTTCATATAATGATATATTTCCTTATCAGCGTTATAGGATCCAAGAGGGCCACAGAGGCACACAAGACATCGGCACCTTAGTTCTTAAGTGCACTTCTTGAACATGATGTGAAAAATGATGGAAAAAAATGAGAAAAAAAAAATATGAGCTATGGATCATTAATCGACAGTTCATGGAGCATAATAAATTAAAAGTTCAATTTGAGACGTGGGTAAATGTGTGCTGAATTTTTGAAAAAAGAGTTAAATAAAGAAAATTGCAATGTGCTGGATCCATGCCTGAGGTGCAAACAGAGGCATTTTGTTCCATGCCTTATGCCTCAGGCACACCTCTACGAGAGTGGATATTATGACCAAATATGTAACAGTAGCCACTCCCAACGCAGTTGTTAACACATTGCAACATCTTTTTTTTTTTCCTTTTTTTTTTTTATCTAGAACAACCCTTCACTGCCAACATGTGCTAACTAAACAGCTAAATACACACACATTATAATTTTTTTGTCTTAAACAAATGAAAAGGAAAGACAGAAAGGAAAGAACAATTACAACTAAGTCTAGTAATAGCAAGTACCTATGATTATCCTGTACATCCACCGTCTCTACCACCCCATTTTGCAGATCATCCTTGGCTTTTGAAAGAGGTGAGAAGAACTGCAAACAGATAAGCTAGAGATAAGCTTCAAGACATATGCCTGAGATAAGTAGTTCCATAACTTAGAAGTACCTGGTGCATTGAAATGAAAACCACCGAGATCCCTAACATAAAGTTTATTGTCAAAGTATGGCCGAATAAAGCAGCAGATGCTATGCCGGTAAATATTGTAGCTACTGTAGAGGAATATTTCTTCAAAATTGTATCTGAAAAAATAAGACAAGACTTATGTTTAGCATTTAAGAGAGCATTAAAGTGGTAACATGTTGTAAAGTCAGAGAATTATGAGTCCCAGAACAGTATTTAAATTTTGCAGCTACTGAAGTCATCTTCTCACCAGCATATTTGAAGAAAAATGAGGACAGAATTCCTTGGGCAGCATTGTTACATATCAAAAGCATAGTAGCTTTTGAATGGCCTTCCAATATATCAAAGCTGCTCGGACCTGAAACAACATTACATTGTTCGGTTGTTTAAATTAAAAGCAAGAATTAAAATTCGATTCTAATTCCAAAACAGCCATTATGAGAAAAATGAAGCCTTACTATATTATTGGAACTGATAAACAAGGGAGAAGCAAAAACTCAGGCAGAAATACCTTTAAAAATGACTGTTCCAAGAATTCCAAGAAAGTTGAATATAGCTCCATACCCATATAAGAATAAGTTCTGTGAATCAAACAGAATCAAAGACAAAAAGATACTCAATTAAGCCCTCTCAGAGAGACAGGATCATATTTTTATTTTCTTAATACATACTAATACATACATAAAAAGGATTAAGAAAATACATATATGCCAAGGTACCAACCAGGCAAGTGAAAAGTAGCATGATAAGTTACAAATCATTCTCAGTTACATCAACCATTAAGAAAAATTAAATTTATGCATCTCATAAAGAGTATGAGGAAGATCTACGCTTAGGCAAGACCTTTTTAAAATTCGAGCGGCAGAATTGAAGTGGCTATTGAAGTCAGTAAACAGTGAAGATTTTTTCTCTGCTTTACATTCTATAGGCGTCTTTGCATACAGATCGTCATTAAATCATTTACCCAATTATATTTGCTACATTCCATTGGCAACTTTTTGAATAATGATATTTATTGACAAAATTATTTCACCTTGTATAGGGAGTTGTTGGAGTGGGGCCACATACATGAGTAAAGGGCCAAAAAACAAATTCGCAAGAATTAAAGACACAGATTCTATATGAAAAAATATAAAAGCTAGAAACCTTTGATGTTGTCAAATCACCTGAAGATAAATGCTGGTGTCATACTGGCTTTTCAAAGCATATTCGTTGAAAACCGAGGCCAATGAAGGAACAGTCACCTGAATTAAATTTTACAATAATTGAATGCAGAGAACGATTTTCCGCAAAAGAAAACAAAGTCTGTTCATACACATCCAAGCAAATATGAATGTAATCATCAGTAAACGCTTGAATGACTTACAAATATCAGCGTGTACACATACGCGCCGGTTGTAACCGCGAGACCCAAAGCAGTTGTACCATCAGGATAGGATTTAAGTTGATTAATGCTAATCCCAATCAGCAATAAAGCAAGAGCCTCCCACTGCCACATAACAATGCATCACTACAAAATACTTGGCAAGTATCTGTAAATGTTGGTTGCTAGATTCTGCAAGCTCATTAAACAGAAAAGACTTCATCACATTATAGTAACTGGAACTAACCTGAATTATTGAAAACCGACGTCTCATTATGATTCTTAGAAGTACAGCAATCACCAAGACCTTTAAAAGAATAATAGAGAAAAAGATAATATGTTACAATTATGAGGCCATAGCAAAGACGAATCTTATTTCCTATTCAAAGACAGTAATAAACCATCCTAGTGCTTGCATCATTGAAAAAGATATTTGATTGACTAATGGACACCTAATCTGTGGGAAATAATCAGCTGGGTTTGAAGTTTCAGAAATGCTCTTTCCCCTAGCTAGTTCCAGAACATGTAAAAATTAAAATCAAGTTACAACTTCTTTCATTGATAAGATTTAATTTTCTCATGACTCAAGATTATATGGCTAAAAAGAACAACTAACCGAGTTTACAAATAAAGTTACAAATCAGAAGAAGTTACAAATCAGAAGAAGCTTTTAAGATAAAATTAATCATGAATACTCCAAACTGCGTTGATGATAAGAGAAGATTGTAGTACTATAACAGCTAATAAAAGAGAAGACATTAATAGAAACATGCTAAAATACCAACACACCTTTAGATTGCTCAGCATTTTAACTGTTGCAGGGTTGAAATATAGCTGGGACAACAGATAGTTATTAGTTATATATAATGGTGAAATAACACTCCATTCAAATTCACAAACAAAGCTGTATAAGAGCCGTAACATTTCTAGCTCACTTTTTTCATTTTTTTTTTTTTTTTTTTTTAATTTTCCGCAGATAAAAGATCCTCTAGTGTGTACTCAGCATTATAAACAGCTCCAGATAAACAAGCAATTGTTCAGAATGAAGTTAATTTTGCCATATGACAGTAAACACTACTACTGTTCATATCAATAGAATTATTTACATAAGTGAGGTTAAAACCATTACATCTTTGTCGGTAATCATAAGATGAGACTATTATGCTCCCCCTGATTCATAGAGATGAAAGTGATAGAATTACGTGATACATGACCCGGATGAATAATATAAGTTCATAGCTGATAGCAAGAGGCACAACTGATTGAAAAAAAAAAAAGGTTCAACACGGTTATGGCAGTATTACAGCAACTATTGTTTGATACATATTCACCATTTTTGGAAGAAAAAAGCCAATTCCTTTGAGAAACGGTTACTCTATGACTCTATGAGATTGAGAATTCATTGCAATAAATTCTGCCACAACGTGGTTTGGGAAAATAGAGAATGGAATGCCCACTACACTTCCTCTCCACTTGGAACGATTTTAGTGGATAAAATCGTACAATCGACTATTATAGTTTACTTCATCTTAGTATGTCTACAACAAAATTGCAGAATCAGTCAATTAAAGTTTTCAGATAATCGAATTTATTTATTCATGTAGTATCAATCTTCCCGAATCATCACATCAATTGATTGACTAAGAAAAGGAAAATTAAGATAGATGAAGCAAGGACATTTCATATAACAATATGAATAACATATAAAATGTTGCAAGGAGCAAGGGTACTAGCAAGTACACTACCATGTAGGAAGAAAAAAACTTTACCTGCATTACGAACTTGAGGTAGTTGTTTATAGCATAAAGAAGAGCTGGAACAGCCAAGAGCACATTGTTGCGAGCTGCCTGCAAAGGTAAAATGGCAATCAATTACCAGAAGCAATTGCATTGCAGAATAAAGAACACCAAAGGGTAAAATAGTTATAAGACAAAATAATTACAGAAAAGGGAAAAACAGAAACATAAAAGAAGATGAAGGCAATGCTGCAACTGCAGAAGATACATGAAATTAATTTTAAGACATTAAAATCATAAATCTCTTCTCCTGAAATAAAGGTGACAGTACATCAAAGTATCCTGAAGACATGAAAAAGAAAAAGAATTCTGAATGCCTGATCAGCAAATACATGCACCTGAGTAAATGTGGAAACTGAGAGAAGCGGCTTTTCACCAACCTTCTGCCGCCTGGCCTGCAAGGAAAGAGCCAACTGTGGATATTCCAAGGTACATATATATGATATGGATTATGGATGTAAATGAGAGTACACACAGTAAGTTCTTATGCCAGCCAACGCATATAGAACTGCAAACAGGCTTCGAAAAAAAACCCGCTTTCTCTTATTTCTTAGTGAAATGTATATGCCGTAGTGCCACCACAAAGAGAAAAATAAAGCTCCAAGATCTTCTTAATCTTGGGGTTGTTCTCGGAAAAAATTGTCAATCTCTATAAAGAAAAAAAGAAAAAAAGGAAAACGGAAAACACTAATAAAGCAACGGAGTCCGAAGTGGTACTCAAAATCCTAAAAAAAATAAAAGATGCAAGTGTAGAATACTTGACCCATTTCATGAAAAAAAATCCTCTCAAGCGAGTTTTATTGGTGCATTTAGAGATAATAATATTGAAGTTACAATAGCAAATAATTTCCAAGTAGATGTAAGGACCAAGCTAGTAGTCAAAGCACTTGTCTGGTCTCAGATAAATGCATGGAGAATGTAAGTACGTGGTAAAAGAGCAAAGAGACTATATGTATTTTTTTTCAATTGCAATTCCAAAATAGAATCAGTAAAACTGTAAATTAGGGATCACGTCCGACAAATTTCACAACCTCAAGAAGTTTTACAGAAGAAAATGTGCCATGATCAAATGAACTAAAGTTGATAGTATTCAGTCTGTAGCACACGAAAAAGTGATAGGCCCATTTGTGTGGTTTGACTTCCGCAAGTTATTTAAGCAATCTCAGAATAAAAAAGAACCTCTGCCTTATCTTTTTTGTCTATATTACTTGTGAAGATCTAGAAACAGACATACTTTCATATTCTACTAACAGGAAATTGAAAATATACCTGAAATATAAGCATCACAATTGCAAAAATTACTTTTGCAACCTCTGTTAAGAAGTTGACGCTGATGGGGCTAAAGTTGAAGCGGCCATCCACTTTTGACATAAAAACCAAGATAGGCTGTAGAAAGATAACGAGACAATGCTTAGAAACAATAATGAGAACCAAGGTGCATGGGATGCAGTAAGAGTGACTGTGACCATAAAGCGAAAGTAAAATACAAAGGTGATTCTTGCTTTTATGAATACATTTGAAAGTACACAAAGAAGTAAATACATGTGCATGGATGAAGGCTACGTATTTCAAGTTATACAATGAATTAGGAAGGACATTCTTAGTTTTATTTTACTATCAGAAAATGTAAATGTCTGAGCAACCACTCAGTGATCCAGTCTAGACTTCAGGCCATGCATGATTGTGCCTGAAGCATAGTACAGCTCTCTAATGTCACATCTCAATTCTTTAACACATAACCCATATTTATAATCACCCTTTAATAATAAATTACACCTGTTTCCGTTTTAATATTTCATTGAACTTGAAGCACTCAAATCTTCCCATCTTTCCACAATTACAAAAGATCAATCATAAATAACTTAAACATCTTCCCACATCAAAATCCATTACAGTTTTTTCCCTATAACTGTTATCACCATAGCATAGATCCAACAGAGCTAAAACCAAAAAATGAAGCAAAGTAGAGACCAGTAAAGGTCAACTGTTACAGTCTTAGAGAAGCAGAATAGTTCTTCTATCTCATTTGTCCACAAATACATTATGGAACAATTTAGGATTAGCTTCAGTGTCATATGGAAGGTCCTGGTGCCCACTGCCTATGTATGTACACAAATTTTCTTGGATGTTATTGGGTAAATTTCCCGCAGTGATATGGTCCACATAAAGAATCAGCATATTTTTCTTCCACTTGGATGATAGTTTCTTTGCAACGTAGCTTAGAGCTGCAGGTTAAAATGTTCCTGCAATGCTACTTTACACAAACTACCCAATCCTCTATCTTATATGAGATATTACAGAGCCTACGAACAACTACATAATGGAGGCAAGTGATCCAATGTTTTCATCGAATCAATCAAACTACTGCTAATAACAGAAGCAATGATGTTTAAGAGACCATACAAGATAAATAACAAAGGACCCAAGAAAAGCAAATCCAAACTCAAACTAAAAGAAGTCTATTGAATCATACAAATGTTTGAACCTTTAATGCTTAGAACTTCTCAAATTTGTTCACATTAAAGTATGGTTCCTCTAAAGATGATTGCATTGACAATATTAATCTCAACTAAAGACACTTATCTAAGATCATGCTGATGAAACTGGTCCCAATTATAAAAATAATAACTAAACAACACAACTCTTTTCTTGAGTTCTAAGTCCTAATCCTAGAAATAGAAAATATACAAGTCTCACTATCTTATTATGGCAACATATTTCCTAAGGATTTACCTCAACCATAGCAGCAGTGTGGTGTTTTCACCTGTCCACTTTATTTCCCCATCACTTCTATGGTCTAAAACTGTTCACCCTTCTTCTTACAGTAACAAGAGTCTTTTCATTTTTTACAACATCAATTATACATACCTCGACCACTACTCAATAACACAAGTAATAAAGAATGCTCGGAGGACATTTTTCAGCGTAATATGAAGTTGGGATAGCACCAAAAAAGTGTATACCTGTAAACCAACTAGGACACAATCTCCGCCAACTAGAAGGAAGTTAAGCGCCCGTTGCTTTGAAGATACCTTGATCCTATGCCGATCATATGCTCGTGAAATAGTCTTTGTGGATGGAGAAACCAATTTGGAATGACAGACACTACACTCTATCATCCCGTTCTTCATCACCCCACCCTCGTGGAAGGCTACAAAACTTACATCCAGAAGAACATAAGCAAGAATTCATCAGCCACGGTTTCCATGAGCACACACATACATCCACATCAACTAATCGGAGAAATCGAAATTTTGAAATGAAAATATCTATCAGCTGGTGCACAAATCACCTCCAACCCAACACTCACATCGATTAAATCAAACCCCCCACCAACACACAACACACAGGGCAGTGATGCATGCAGCTTAGCCAGATCTCATCAGAATGACAGAAAGAACCAATTTTTACAAATTTTTTGTTTTCTTTCTCAGTCGATCAAATCGGAGCCCACGCTCAATTTCAGTCCAATTTTCGCCGGATCAAGATCAAAACAGCCAACCCCATTGGTATATCACTATTACACGCTTGATCCATCGAAATTAGGGATCACATAACGGATCGAATATCACATTTATCATAAACAAAACACGAAAAGACACACACATACATACCTGAGGTAGAAATTCGCTGTTGATTTAAATTTGGTGACAGAGTGTGAATGACTACGGCTGCTAGATCTGAGCAAGGCTCCCAAATTGTGCGTCTGAGAACAGCCTTGAGTTTGTTATACGAAAGTACCCAGCAGAAACGCAGTTGATGCAAAGGTTTAGGAAGAAGAAGAACAGCAGCTGGGCTGTGGATCTGATTGTTGTTTGGTGCAAAAATAGTAGTAACAGAGAAACTTCATGGGAAACGTAAACCACGTTCATAAATCTGATATCCACATGGAAATTGGAATACAAAGGAAGCAGTGTTTGGGCAACTAACGAATTATGAAAATTTGGAGGTGGCACCAAGAGCGCTTGGATGAGATGCTTGATCAGTGGTCTCGTATTTCAGCCCTGAGAATGCAGCAGTGTTAAAACTCTTGAGGGAGAGTTTTGCCGCTCTTGTGGTCCTACCGGGCTCGATTCCAGATTAGTCGATTCCCCTGTAGATCTAGAAACCGGAAGGTCCCTATACCAAAAAAATAAAAAAAAATAAAAAAATAAATTGGGGTTGGCTAAGGTTTGTTCTCAAATAAACAACCTGTTTGGTACATCCCTGTAATAAATAATAAGCGTGCTAATTTAAGGAAATATATATATAAACAATTTATAAATTTTAAATTTTTATATACTCATTAGTAAATTGTGTTATTATATAATAATTTTTTAATTTCAACACTAGTTCAATCCTCGGTATACTTAAGAAAGTCCCTCTCTAGGGTTTTCGTTCTCTTCTGAGATCTCAGTTCCATTTATTGGATTTAGTTCCGAATCACTCATCTTCAACTCACGATCTTGCCTTTCGTCTTCCTTTCCCGTCGATCTGATATTCTCTTGTTCTTTTATCCATTTGTTCATCGCATATATCCTTTTTTGAGTCGGTCTGGGAGGGGTATCGACTATTTCTATCTGGTCTAGGTTTGCTGTTATCTTTCTGCCCATATATCCTGAAGTCTCTATTTTGCAATAATGAAAGCATCATTGGCAATGGGCGCAAATGGCTAAACTTTGATTATATATCTAGTAGTCTTAGGTTTTCTTCGCTTATGTGTTATTGGCTGGATCTCTTGTGACTTTTTGGTAGTAGGGTTCTTGTATGTTTGTATTTAGTCTGTTGTCTTTGAATTAGGATTTATTCTGATTTCCTTTTTATCTGCTTGTATTTGTTGTTGTGTTGTTAGGATTTTTTTCTAGTCCTGGGTCTGATCGGCTCGTGGTCTGTTTCTCTGCTTTCTCTGTAGGTAGTGATTTCTTTGTGGATTTGTGTAGTGCTGTGTCGTTTTTATTATCATGGATCAAGATTTAGCGGATAGATTTCTAAAATTCAAATTGTCTGACAAAGAACTAGGAGTAGAATTCTCAGTGGATGAGATTGCTCCTAGTTTAAAAGAATGTCAACTAAGTCTCATTGGTCAAGTGTTTGGAGAAAAGAAAGTCAATTTTAGCGGTCTTAAAACTACTCTAAGTAGCATTTGGGTTACTAGAAAACCTTTCTCTTTTAGAAATCTAGGTAATAACAAGTTTCAGTTTCTTTTCCAATGTGAAGAGGATAGGGATAGAATTCTTCAGGGTAAAACTTGGTCTTTTGATGGCCAATACATACTTCTGAAACCTTGGAACCCTGTGTCTCAAGAATTTTCCACAGAAGAGGAAGTCATCAAAGTTTGGGTTCAGATTTTAAATCTTCCTCTTCATTGGATTTCTGAAGACATAGGGCTGAAAATTGGGAAAAGGATTGGTAATCCTATCCACATTCAAATCCCTAATTCAGGGGGGCAGTCAGGTCAGATTGTGAAAGTGCTTGTTGAGTTCAATGTTAATGATCCTATCCCTAGAGGTTCTCTTATAAAAGTAGGTTCTGATTCCACCTGGGTGGATTTTAGGTATGAGAACTTGCAGTCATTTTGCTTTTATTGTGGCAAGATAGGACACTCAGATAAAAATTGCCTTGTTAAAGCTGAGGATATCAAAGCTAATAATCTGAGTGTAGGTCAATTTGGTGAGTGGCTTAGGACTAGTGCCACTTCTTCTAGCTCTGGCAAAAGCCCTAGTTCTCCAATTGTAGGTAGCCAATCCAGTGGACATGATCATCAATCTAGTCCTGGACTGGTAGCTGCTAGAAGTGAATCTGGGGTTAATATAATCAGATCTAATGATTGTAGCCATGGTACTGCTCCCCAGGGGAACAATGGGAGTAACCAGCTAGAGGATGATGTTAATGTGCCTGTATTGGCTCAGGTAGTTTGTGAAAGGCAAACTCAGGTGGTTAATGAGGCAGTTCAACTTCCTCAAACCACTTTGCCTTTACCTGATTCTAACCTAGTGGATGTAGAGATTCAGCCTTCTAAAACAGGGGGTGGAACTCTTAGAAAAAGAGCTACATTCACTAGGACAACCAGGGCCAACAAAAAGTCTCAGGTTGAGAACATGATTGTTGATAAGGTAGGGATGTCTGGGATTGTAGAGGTTGGGCAGATGTCTAACAAAAGACATAGTGATGTATTTCAGGATAATATTGACCTAGAGGGCACAGAAGGTAAGAAAAGTAAGAAAATTAAGATGTCTGAAGAAGCTGTTTTAACTGTGGTGGAGGCAACCAGCCATAAATGGTCCCATGGTGTACAATGAAAGTTATGGTGTGGAATTGTAGAGGTTTGGGGGGACCCTCTACAATTTCCCAGTTTAAGGAATCCTTAAGGATCCACCACCCAGATTTTGCTTTTCTTTCAGAAACAAAAAAGAAACTTAAATTTATAGAGACTATGTGTAAAAAGTTAAAACTGCAGGGTAATTGGGTCTATGAAAAGCCTGTGGGTAGGAGGGGTGGTCTTTTTCTAACCTGGTCAGAGAACATCTCTCTGATAGAGGTTAGAAAGGTTGATTTTTGTTTGGAGGTGCATTTTAATTTTAAAGGTTTTGTGGAATCGTTTTGGGCTATTTTTGTTTATGCTAGTACTGATAATGAAATTAGGGCTAGACAATGGGAGATGTTGATTAGACATAGCATGTATTGGGGTAATTTGTGGTTTCTTTGTGGAGATTTTAATGACATTTTGTGTCATTCAGAAAAGAAAGGAGGCTTAAGAAGGGAAGAGTTCAGTTTTAGGCACTTTAGACAACTGGTTACTACTTTAGCTGCAGTTGAGCCTAATTGTGTGGGACATCCATTTACATGGTCTAACAACAGGAAAGGACAGGAATTTATTGAAGAGAAGCTAGATAGATTTCTTCTATCTCCCTCTTGGAATTTACAATTCCCTGATTCTGTTGTTAAACATGTTACCCTTATTTCTTCTGATCACTGCATGCTCATTATGGATACCTGTCAGTCAGAGGTATCTATTAGGAAAAGGTTTGTTTTTGATTCCAGGTGGATTGAGTATGAAGACTATAAAGAGGTGGTGGCTGAGGCTTGGAATATTCCTGTCTCGGGGCATGCCCTTTTCAGTCTTCAAGATAGGTTGAGAAATGTTAGAATGCAATTATTGAATTGGAAGAAGACTAAAGTTCCCAATGCCACCAAAGTCATTGAGAGTTGTAAACTCAAAATTGAATCTCTTAGGGAACTTGGGGGGAACAGGGACTGGGGGGAGTGGATATCCTGTAAATCAGAACTTCACTTGGCTTATCAAGCTGAAGAGAAGTTCTGGAAACAAAAAGCGAGGGTTCTTTGGCTGAGAGGGGGGGATAGAAATTCTAAGTTTTTTCATGCTTGTGTTAATCAAAGAAGAAAAGTTAATAGCTTGAATTGCATTTTGAAACCTGATGGGTCTCCTTGTAATACTAATCAGGATATCTTAACTGAGTTGATTGCCTATTTTGGAAATCTGTTTAAATCTTCTAATCCTTTGGATTCTGCCTGTTCTCTGGAGGGTATTCCATGTTCTGTGTCTGATGATATGAATGCTAAGTTGATCAGGAAGGTTGATGAATTAGAAATTAAAAATGCTTTGTTTGAAATGGCTAATGATAAAGCCCCTGGTCATGATGGTTTTACTGCTATGTTCTTTCAACATTCTTGGTCCATTGTTAAATACCATGTGTGCCTTGCTGTTGATAATTTTTTTGCTTCTGGTAAAATGCCTAGGGGTTTGAATCATACAGTTATTACTCTTATCCCTAAAAAGCATAACCCCAATAAGGTTACTGATTTTAGGCCTATTAGTTTATGTACTATTGTTTATAGGTTAATAGCTAAGATTCTTGCTAATAGGGTGAAACCTGTTTTGCCATTTTGTATATCTAAATATCAATCTGCTTTTGTGCCTGGTAGGCAAATTTTAGACAATGCTATCATTGCCAATGAATGCATTCATTTCATTAATAGCAAGAGAAAAGGCAAAAAGGCTTATATGGCAGTTAAACTTGATATGGCTAAAGCCTATGACAGGGTAGAGTGGTCTTTCATTGCTAGGGTCTGTAGGAAAATGGGATTCCATGAAACTTTTGTCTCTTGGATTCTTGCTT